GAAACTGGTTTGCCCAGCCCAGATAAGACAGTTTCTTAGAAGGCAGATCCAGTAACAGACTTCTGATATGTAAAAGGTGGTTTTGAAGGACAGTAGCTATTATTTTTCARGCAACTAAAGGTAGAACAGGGAAAAAGGAGAAATTCACAGAGGAAAARTAAAAGATGTAGATTTAGGTTTGTTATTAGGAAACGATTTAATGCTGAAGATAATAAACACCGGAACAGACCATTCAGGCAGAGGATTGAGTTCTTGTCGGAGGGGGATTTTAAGAACATCTGTCAGGATTGGTCTAATATCATCAGTTGCGCAGGGGATCCAGGGAGGATTAGATGACCTCTGAGACCCACCCGCCCTATATTCCTGTGATTATACCTCTCTTGCACATGCAGAAGGGACAAGAGGAACATCTTGTCCATGAGGGGGAAGGGGGAAAGAGGAACACAATGCAGGATTTRAGCCTAGGATAGGAGCTTTTATTGCAAAGGGAACTTCTCCAGCAGTTCCTATGCAAGGGTAGGAATGAAGAGGAGCATATTCCAGGCATCAGAGCTCATGATCAATGAGTCCTTGAGCATGTGAGCAATACTCATCAGCAAGACACTGCAGGAATTTCTCAGTGTCACTGAAGAAAAATCTGTACATCACACTGTTATCTTGTCTCTAGCTGAGATCACTCTGATACTTCAAAGGAAGCAAAAAGTAGCATTGCACAAGTTAAACAAGGGGAAAGACAGCAAGAGGGAGAAGATAGCACTGAGGCTTACCCGCCTCCTGCAGAGGTAGTATCTGAAGAAGGCATTAGGTATGTATAAATGCCAGTTACTGCCTGATTCATTTGCTTTCAGCCTACCCTTCCCCATTTAGAAAATGCAAAGCTCCTTCTATCAATTAACACTGCAAACTGTCACTCACCTCTCTGCCCTACCAAAGCAGCTGAGAATTCCAATTCAGCTTTGCCTTAAAGCCTGCTCAGTCCAGCAATTCTGCTTTACATGTAGGTTACAAGAATTAAGAGGTATTTTCTCTGAAATACCTCCTGCACTTTCAGGGCACAAATCAAGAATAATAATCTCCCAGGAGACAATATTTCCCTCCAACTCCCCAACAAGCTGTGGCTGGAGACAYTGAATTCTTTTCTTGCTTCCTTTCCCCCACAACAGGTGGACTCTAAGCAGTTCTCCAGATGCAGCACATCATGTAAGGACAAGAGGGAATATAGTCACAGAGGATGTTGAAGGGAAACTAATGGAAAACAGAGATGAAAAAAGATGAATTTGCTTTCTAGCAAAAAAAAAAAATCACTTCAAGTCTGTTCTGGGAGTGACACATTTATCTCATGGGGACAGGAAAGTGCTGGAGTGTGTCTAAACTGGCTGTATATGTTATCTCAAGGGGACTAGATGGAAGAGACTTTAAGGAGACTGTCAGCCAGCCTGACAGCCCAGGCCTGTGTGGTCCTGCTAAACTGCTGGCTGTTTGACTTCACAGGTAGCAAATGAGGGGTTAAGCAAGGCCAGACAACAGAGAAAGAGAGAGACCTGTCACAGTGAAATCATGTGAAACTGTTACAGAAATGAGCCCAGAACAGAAAAATAAATCTTGTTTTTTCACCTTACATTTACAAATAAGTCCTGGCTCTGAGCAACCTTCGGCACAGTACTACACAAAAGCAGACACTTTGTAATTACATAAGTCCAATACTAAGAGAGACCATTGTCATACTCAGTCAAGAACATACCACAACTTGAGAAAAGTAACGATATTAAAATTTAGTTATTGTGCCAAATATTCTGCCTACTTAAGCCAGTTATGATTCTAACAGCATAATTTCTCCGCAGTGACTCTTTTTTGGCTTTCTTTTTATTTTTTTTCTTTTTTTTTTTTGGGGGGTGGGGGAGGGCTTTTCTCCCCACTCCCTCTCCCTGAATTTTAAAGCCTATCCCAATAAAAGTTGCCCTTTTTCTTTCTAGTTGCCAGGGAAATAAACTGAGGCAAAGGAAAGACAATAGACATGCCTGGAATAACTAGGGCAGATTCAGTGACAAAACTGTAAAGAGATCAAAAAATTCAGTTCTATTTCCCTTTGATCTGCAGAATTATACTTGGAAGGACAAGGAACATCTTGGGCACATTTTTAAGGTAATTACTGGGGAACCCTCGAGCCGAAGTTCACAGTGAATAGCACAGTTATGCACAAAGTATTCCCAAACATTTACAGAAGAGCATAGTGAGGAATCCTCTTTGTTCTGGACATGTAACATTAGAGAATATGTCAGCTTTCATTTCACTTGATGACTTGGGTAAATTCATTTCTTTGTCTTTTTCTGCCTTTCTTTCTTTCATTGTTTTTCTGAGAAACAGTTGACATGAAAAATGAGAAACAAGAATTGCATTGTCAGTTAGAAATGCATGCATGTAATGAATTGTAAGCTAGTTGACCCTTCTAGGGTATTGATTCTGCTTTTTAACTAGAAAGGGAAGCATGGACTGCCTTACAGAAGAGGATGAAAGAATAAAGGAACCTGCCAAACAAAAATTGAATCCAGAATTATTTTTTTTAGAGCTTAAAGTTGTCACAGAAGTGGCTAGATCATGATAATGCAGTACAATCTTTCAGTGGAAAAAGCTTCCCCTAAAGTTCCACTTCTTATGCTATAAGGCACTTCCTTGTTTCATTTATCATAATTTTTACAGGTTTTCCTCAATTTTTTATTATGATGAAAATGAAAACAATTGAGACCACAAGCAAGCCCAATCTTCTAAACTAGAAAATTCAAAATATGTTCCTTTTTAGCATTCCATCTCGCACCAAAACCTTAAAGAAGCTCACGAAATACTTTTCATCCACTGAAATAGCATTTTTATGAAAAATATATTTCCCACAAAAAAAAATTTGCATTTTTCAAACAGCTGTAGTAAATCCTTATCTCACAGGGATGCTGAGAGAGGGATGCAAAGCTTTAAACAGAATTTTAGCAACAGACCTTCAGCTGGCATAAATCTGCCCAGTTCCACTGCAACAATAGACTTCCAACTGAAATACACTTAATGTGACTCCAGAGAAGCTGTTCTGACTTAGACCTGGTAATCACTTGGCCTTCTAATACCTCCCACAACGCAAAAGCAAGAGAAGCAATTATAAGAGACACATTCTTAACTTAAACAAAGCAACAAGCATATTTCTAATCGTTCCAGCAGAACAGCTGGGTAAACCAGCTCTGCTCACCCYTAAACCCTTAAGCGTATTCATCAACATCACAGCTATTATTGTGCATTGCAGATGATCAGGAATGGGTAACAAAGCATTCCTGTAACTTCCCCTGTCATATGATGCGTGTTGTTTGCATTGCAGAGAGCAGCAGCAAGATGATTGACTGCATAGAGTAACACTTACTAAAGGACAGGTGCTTAAAGAAAAAGCTTTTAAATAAAAGAAAATACAGCAAGTGACTTTCCCATGAAAATATATATTCAGCAGACATACCCCAACAGGACCTACAAAAAATGCTTTTTAAAGCTTCTTTAACAAAGAGTGGGAACAACAAGCCTTCCATCTTGGCAGCCAACAACAATGGAAAAACAATAGGGAGCTCAGAAAAGCAAGCAGTGTCAAAGCAAGCAGCCATCCTGCTGCTGTTCACCAGCATTACCTGCATCAGTCATGTGTGCTGCAGTTTCTTCCTCTTTCTTTTTAAAGATGCTCTGTAAATAACTTTTACCAATCTATCTTCAGTCAATATAACCCAGGGTGGAGCTATGAAATGCTGCAGACTCTCTGTGGCCCTAAGAAGTAAATACACGGAACAGGCTGTGGCAGCTGCTGAGCAAGCAGGCAGCTTTATGGGAGAGTCTGGAGTGTCTGCAGCCCCTCAGACAAATAGAAATTTTGAGAGAGACCAAAGGGTATTTGCCAACCCCCATTTGGGCACCAAATCCCCAGGTCCCTTTCCTGTTCTCTGYAGGAAATTAACTTCAAATAGCCTCGCCTAGAGGTCAACTGGCCTCACCTGTAGAAGGTGATGCTCCTACTCTTAGTAGAGCTGTTCTGGCTGCAGAGTGGAAAGCGGACTTTGACAGGAGACCAGGTCTGCTGCCTGAGTTGCTCTGCRAGTGCTACTGTCACTATCACACTCAAAGGCAAAAGGAGCTGGGGAGTTCAGGGCACATGATGTGCTAATGGAGATCTCTGGTACAGATGAGCCTAGCAGCCACTAGGAGCAGAGAGGGAACACTGAAATTTGAGRAAGCATTAAGTATGACACAGGGTTATATAAGGCTGCTCAGAGGTGTATTTGGCAGTCTCAGAAAATGCTAATGTCCCAATTCATGTTTCCTACCCTATGAAAACTGCTTGTTCACCAACAAATGTGACCTTTTCCTGACAGCAGACTCACTGCTGCCTGCAGCATTCCCACCATGTCCAGAACTGAGGRATCCTCTTCGCTCCATTTAGTGCCCTGAGCTCAGCTGAGCTTAGCTTCAGGGGGATGCAGGAGAGATAGAAGAACAGGATGAGATGCAATGCATGCAAAAGGGTACCTTTGGATGAATTTCTGGCTGTCCCTCTAGGCACGCTTCATTGTGTTGTCAAATCTCCAAGATACAACCATGCCAAGCTACCAGCCASTGCACCCTCAAGAAAAGAAGTCTAGGGAAGGTCTGGGGCAGGGCTACAAAAGTACCCAAGCTTATTCCAGTTTCCTTTGTCCTTTCCACAGTGCAGYTCCCAGATGCACTGCAAGCACTAAGAAATCCTCACAAAACAAGCACACAGAACCAAGTGCTGTATCAACATTCCTGGAGCAGARTAAGAAGCAGAGTTAGAAATGAATTACCACGTGGCTGCAGTCGCACTGACAGATACCACTACTCTTTAAAACACACTTATCTCACTGACAAATCTACTGTCCTTTTCTACTACCTCCCCCACACTGCCACACTGTGTGARAGAAAAACAAATAAGATAGAAAAACAGAAATACTAATTAGTTTCCTTACCTTAGCCATACAGTTCTTATGGAGAGCAAGTGAGCAAAGTAGGATCCAACAAAAGTGAAAATCCTCTTGCAGCTACAGTCAAAGTAAGTCKAAATCCAAGCTTATGCTCAGGCCTCTATAGGAGTGCAAAGAAACAGGAGTGCTACTCATTTCACCAAAAAACCTGCATGGCTCTTGTGATGCTTAATAAATATTTTTTCCTTGCAAAGAAAATGCACCAAGCTGTTGGTACTGATGGAGACATCAYGACCTCAATGGAAACAGCTGACCCAATAATGCCTAAAACATGRTTTGTTCATAAACATTGCAGCTTGGTCCAGTGCTATGTATAGACAGATAAGATAGCAACTTAGCTGATTTTAAATGTATTGACAAAAGTGAGGCATGTATAAGAGAGAAAGAATTTTCACAATATAAAGCCTGAGAAGAAAAGTTTTTTGTTCCAGTTAACAAAATCAGCTAGGTGCCTACGTGATATTTAGCACATCTCACATTTCTTTCACCTGGGTCCCATTCAAGGAAATGACAGGTCTCCCTGTGCTTCTGACAGCTTGCTAGCCCTCCACACTGCACTCCCTGGCCTCCATTTGCAGGACAGGGGACAGTGTGGGAGGGTGAAGTTTTGACAAGCTTCTGCAGCTGAAGAGCAAGGAGAGGAAAGGTTCCCACCACTGTCTCTGCAAAAGGAAAGAGCAGAGTAAGAGCCATGAGGCACTGAAGAAGCAAAAGTTCAACTTTAGAAGAACAGGTTCATAGGATCTCTTGTACAAGGACTTACTTCTGTTTATTAATTCATGCAATAATGGATGCCAGTTTTCCATCCATTAGCGCTCACTTAAAAAAAAAAAACAAAAAACGATTTGAATTTCCTTAATTCCAGCAAAAATACCTGGGATAACACTGGCTTGAGCTAAATGGATCTCTCTCTCACACTACCTCCTTCTGTCTGGCTTCCTAAACTACACCTGCAAAACTGACCTCTAGACCCAAGCCTCAAATGACTTTCCATTCGCRCACATCTCTCCATTAAGCTTTGGAAGAGACGGCAAGAAGATATGTGAACTCTAAATAATATTCAGAGTGATACAGAGAGTAAGGGCAATATTTTATGCTGATCACATGAAAAAAAATCAAAGTCTGAGCAATAAAAGGAATTTATTAAATTGGTCAAAAAACTTTATTTTAAAATCAATTCATATTGAACCTCCATAACAGAGAAATCATAAACTCCTTCCAGTGTAGTGAACTTGAATTGAACTCAACYGCTCTTCTTGAAAGATGTGAAGCTGCTAGTCAACACTGGCAGCCTCGTCAGCTCCTTAATCTACACTCTACTCAATTCATAAATGCTTTGTAATTTAGAACACAGTCTGTCTAATTGAGAAATAAACCAGCCCTAAAGCAATCAAATTCAGAAACCACTAAACCAGTACATTCCCCATTCTGCGTACATCATTGGTTTAGAACATACTGACTGTTTTATCTCTGAAGTTGTTAATGGCATAAATCTAATACTCAGTAAGGATGGCAAGCTATCAATTTGTGGAGCCTACCGACTAGTGTATAGAGGTTCTTGCTTGCAGCCTGGAATTAATCATCTAGCTATTAAAATCAGCCTTTCTACACTAAAATTAAAGCAAAATCCGCTCTAAAACTTAATATCTGACCTATGTGAATCAGTGCTTGCTTTTTTTGCTTGTGTTTTGCTTTCCTTTTTTTTTTTTTTTTATTTTCTTATTCTTTAGAATTCTCTCTTGGAATTACAGATCCTTGTATATCAAATTTAAGTCTACTCATAATTAATTTGTTTTCATCAAACAACCAGAAATAGTTGGTGGGTTGCTTGGAATCCATGGACTGCATTGTGAGCACCACAGCTCCAGATATATGTAGGGCATGGCAATACATCTCCCAGAGCATCTGCTAACATGCCAAACCCCATCCTACAGAAATGCTCACAACCAAAAATCTCTGCTCAAGAATGAAAGACATCACTGGATTAGAAATAAATATTTGAAATGTGTGCAGAAAAACAATGAAAACAAAAAGACCCACCCACACGTCCAGAAAAAGTGTTCAGGGCCCGATAAAGCTGCCTCTTCCCAGACATCTGTCAGACTTGGCTAGCTCTGCTTCCCAGGAAGTGGCTAAGCGTGGCAGCAAAACTGAAATTTGATGAAAGAGTTCAAAATTGAACACCAATCTTTTCTTCCTTGCCTTCCAYCTAGCCAAGCCATCACAGATATTCCAGTTTTACTTCTTCCTATGATCAGATCCTGTCCAAAACCTTCGGGAAAAGTTTCTCTAAGGACTGTGTCCAGATGGTCAGTTGTGGAAGGTCACTGGGGCCAGGTTTGTGCAAACTAGTTAAAGGTGCCGATTTATTTTGCCACATCTCAGGTGTTGGAACAACATCAGCATGCTTGGACAGATGGTTTCTTCTGAAACCTGTGAGAACTTCATGCCTTGGAAACATCTCTATTTCTGTGAGATTCAGAGGAAAGTTACTAAAGTAAGCAGTTACTAGACCAGAAGTTACTAAAGGAGCATGCTAGACAGGCCCACAGACTGAGAGCGGATTGCATACACCTTACTGCCTTAGGGAGACAGGCTAAAATTAAAAAAAAAAAAAAGAAAAGAAAAAGAGAAAAAAGCAACCAGCAAAGCAATGTTTTTCCTACAAGCCTTATCTTTATTTTTAGAGCTGTAATCAAAAGAACATTTTGTCTCCAGATCAGATCGGGACATCTGGAAAGACACGAGGGGCAGCTCTGCTCCCGTATCTCTCTCCTTTTTTTCCTTAGTGGCGAGGTAGGAGCAGAGAAAAGCATGGGGGAGGCAGCCGTGCACCTTAGTGCTGTGTTATCGGCCATCGTGGCTTTCTGAGAACGCGGGCAGAAGAATGGAGAGGAGAGCAGGGCTGAAGAAAGGCCTCATTTAGAAATGCATTTCATCTACATTTTTATAACAAAACTTCAAAGTTATGATTGATCATAAGGGCTCCGCTTAGTACAAAGAGCAGAATGATTAAAGCTCACAAAAGCAATGATGGTGAGCCAGAAGTGAAGTCATTCTCCCTTTCTGTTGGAGGTATGTTTATCCTGCAAAGGTTTACACCTTTCAAATAAGAAAAAAAGCTTTGCAGCATGTCTGTGTTTACACAGAAACCACATGTGTGCAGGCAGWGTCTTCTTTCAGACTAAGGAGCCTCATTTCCAGATGAGTATTTAATAAACGGGCTTGCAAGTGCAAAAGCATAGGTGAACCGGTGAGGGAAAAGTTCCCATCCACACTAACAAATGAGCATTAATCTGTGTTAAGAAATGGGCCAAAGACCAGGAAAACAGTGAGCATTTCTCCCCTGAGGCTGTATGGCTTTATAGCTGYTGAAGACCTAACTCCTCACCCAACCAGACCCAGGAAAAGCCCTAGAGGCCTGAGGGGCAGGTGACACTGGAAGGCAGCAAAGCACTGGACCTCAGGGCTGTGGGTAGCTCACAGTCCTGCTGTGCCTCAGAGCCCCCAGCTGTACAACAGGGGGAATAACACTTTTTTTCCACACATCTTTTGCCTTATTCCCTGGGCTACCCCTCCAGCAGCACTGGTTGCTTACACATCACCCAGCACAGTAAGACTAAAGYCCCGAAGTTATAAAGGGGAGACACTTTCTTAGTAAGGTCCACTGTACTGGTAGATCCATCACAATATCCGGATGCAGTTAAGAACATGCAACCTGCAGCAATGCATATGTGTACTTTGAGGTGGTCTTCACCATGTGCGTGCACACACACACACACACACAAACACACACATGCTTGTAAGCCTGAACTCTCCAGCACCGAGAGAAAGCCATATCACATGAAAGCCTTTTGCGTAAGCTTTATCAGGAAAGTGGATCAGAAGTTAGATAACTGCTCTCTTCAGACTCCTGCTTCAGATGTTTTGAGAGAACTGATTCGGAAATAATCCAGATGATATAATTAAGGGACCAAGATCAAGTTAAGTTGGACATAAATAGCTCTCATACATTATCAGATATGTCTAGGCACAAAATAGTTCTGCATTTCAGCACCATTTGGAGGTTCTGGCAGAGAGTGCCAGGTTCTGTTAAGATATTTTTCTACATATCATTTTCTACACAGGACTAAAATTCTTCAAACCAGACAAGTCTCCACTGTCCTACATGCTGTCTATAACTCTCCTGAGAGCCAGTCTGTGCCATAGTGACTTCAGTGTCAAAATAGATTTCAGTTTTGGCTTGTGGATGCCTACAAATATTTCAGAGGAATTGTGGATCCCATGTAGCAGATTTAAGCCTAATAATGATGGATTCTGCTCTCCCTAATCACTTTTGTAGCAAAGAACCACCCAGCTTGCAGTTTTATACCTGATTAAAAGACAGATTAAAAAGGTAAGTTATTTTGCCTATACAAGAGAAAAAGTAGGGTAGGCCTGCACAGTGTTAGGTTAGGTTTTATCTTTTTAGATTTTGGAGGAAAATGGCAATTTTTCCAGGAAACCCTTTTCCTCCATGTAGAAAAGCTTTGGTCTGTACCTAGCAGAGGAAGCGTTAAATCATCCCATTGTGATCAATTTTATATGTGGGAGAATACAAGTGTTCAGAAGTGGTGAATGATATTGTGATACTGGGATTTAGGAGAGCGGGSTTCAGGCTCATAGTTTGAAGTATTCTGAATTACATGCCCCACTTAAAAACTTTGATTTGTTCCCAAAACTTCTCTCTTAAACATCAATTCAAGAACTAGCGATTGGAGACCTGAATGATTTAGAAATTGTCCTGTGTTTTTTTATCTTCTTGAATATATGTCACATCTTGATTTACAGTGTATCAGGGTTTGAATTACATATTTTTTTTCTGATTGAGAATACATTTGTGCTGAAAGGACCAACAGCGTCTTTTATTGTGATGCTGTGACTGTGTTTAAGATTGGTCAAATGTAGTGATATATGTTGCTTTGTTCCTCTCATGGCTTTTTTTTTTCCCTAAATCTTTAGTGTA